TGTAAATATTGACCGTCTTGGATTGTCTGAAGTTATGATATGAAATTTTTGGATTGAAAATACTTTTTCAATAGACATCATTTATGAATGATATAATATGATAAAATAAATCGTCTGAATATTTTATTTGTTTATTCAGACGATTATCTTTATTCTTCTTATTTTTATCACATTATGTCAAATGATGTCTTCTTTGACCTTCTTATATTCTCTGATGTCCTGATATCAACTGTTTTCATTAATCAAACTATAATCGATATCCTTATATCTCACCATTTCTACTGATATATTCTTTGGCCTTCTTGTATTGTCTGGAATTCTGATATGTAGTGTTATCATTATTCAAAAAGTGTCACATACCAATGTCACCCCGTGTATTTCCTCCCCCGTCCTATATTTAGCACTAGCATTATCTTGATGGACTATTTCTTTATTTTAACTACCGTATTTGACGGCATATAACACGCACCGGTGTATAAGACGCACCCCAATTTCAGCAGGGAAAATCAAGAAAAAATTAGTAATTAGTAAAATTATTATTAAATGGTACAGACAAGTCTATATTTATGAGGTATTATTATTTTGGTTAAACAAACCATACTTACAATTACATGAAAAATAATAGGAAAAAAGAATATGAGCCTATAAAAACTTTATTATATCCTTTATATAATCTGTACAACCTGTGTCTTGTCAATGTCTTAGTGGAATAATTAGAATAAAAAAATTCTGATTGTATTTATACAAATGCAACCGGAAGTTATTGCAAGAATATTAATGAAACAAATATAGTTTACAAATATATCATTTGAATTTATTGCATATAATTTTAGTGAAACACAGTACTAATAATAAACGTGACTAGATTAATATAATGAATATTATCAATGATGACAAGTTTAATCTGCATAATAACCTTTTAAATAATGACAATAGGTATATAAAAGTTACTATAAAGTCTAAGCTAATAGGAGTTGCCAGGTAGCTAATTTCGGCCGACTATCGCGAATTTTAAACCTACATATGGCATATAAGACTCAGGGAAATTTTAAAAGATATTTTTAATTAAAAAAAGTGCGTCTTATACGGGAATTCTGTTTTTTTTTTATTATTATTAATTACTGTTATCAGTTCGTCTATTTGTGAGCAATACTTGGTTGAATGTATAACTTAGGTCTCTTAATAGGCTTCCAAGTGAATCCTAACGTATACATAACATCACGTTTCTTTGAATGAAGATTATTTAATCAGGGCTCATTTCACTTAATTATTTTTACATTTGTTGAAACAAGTCCCTTTTGTTTTAAAAATAGATCCCATTTACTTTATTTTTATAATCTGAAAGTGTTAAAATATTTTTTTTACTAGCAGCCATACCCAGCTGGTCGATCAGAAAAAGCGTTCAATTAGAATGGAGCAAAAACAGCATCATGCTTAGATGTAACAGAGGCTATCTTCTTCAAAGTACTTTCTTTAACATACTTTCATTAAAAAAATCATTTTGAATGATATAACAGAAGTAGTCTGTATTTATTCAATCGAAGTTACCAGAGGACATGAAGGGGTAAAACAGGCAACATGAAGACACACTTCAGACCACAATTATTTTGGAGTTTTTGACATTCAAATTTTCAGTGTGCTAACAGGGATGTAAAAGAGGATACATTTATAAAGCAATTGTCAAATTTGATGAAAATTGGTTGAAAGATCAAAGTAAGAAAGAAACCAGTAAAAATCGCCATTTTTCGCTATTTACGTGGGTTTTCACTATATGAATGGACTCAATTATTGTTGGCTACAATTAAGTGAAGTTTGTATTAGATTGCTTGAAAATTGAGGGAGTTTTTAGTTTAAAACTTGTGTTGAAATCGATTTTTTGGGGTTTTTTTTTCGCTAAACGCAGTTGCGTAGAAACAAAAATGAAGTATCGTTGAGCTCGTCATGATGTAAGTAACCTACATACCGGGTTTGAACGAAATCGGAGGATAAAAGATGAATTCATCGATTTTTGATCGATTTCATCGATTATTGATTTTTTTTAGAATTATTGACTTTTTACGCTAAGAACCTATCTCTTACATAGTACAATGCCTTTGACAAGTTTGGTCAAAATCAGTTGGCTAGATCTCAAGTGAAAAGGTATCAGACACACAGACATCCTCTGTTTTATATATATCGATAGTTGTTGTATATGATTAAATCGAAAATAAACATAAAAACCATCCTTTAAAAAATGGATTTTCTCGTTTATTAACCGCTTGACGCGCACATTCGTGCAACGTTCTCCGGCTGTTTGAGTGTTAATCGAACGTCGCAAGCAATCGTTGCGAAGAATCCATCAAAATAAAGTTAATAAATAATGTGGTCACGAGAATCGACAAACTGCCGGAAAGTATATTCAATCTGGTCCGCCTCGCCATACACCTGCTGTCGCGTATCGGTATCTGAGACTCGGGGTGAGGTGAGCGGTGAGGTAATCGATAGCGGACAGGTGAGCTGTGTGGTCCTACAATAGGATAGGTCTCTTTCCGTTCACCACTACTAATCCTCAAATGGCTGGCTGCCCATTTTCTTTTTTTTTTTGGGGGGCGACTACACCTGGTTGTCCGATTGCCTACCTAATTCCTGTCTGAATTTCTGGGAAGAGGACTTCACATTATTTATATTATTTATACTATTGTCTCGAACTTGTTTTTATTATAAAAACGTTTCGGTCGCTGTGCCCTTCATCAGGCTTACGATCATTTCCCGTTGAAACTCGGGTCCCCGTACGATAAACGAAGTTAAGCAATGTTGGACCTGGTCAATACCTAACTGGGTGACAACTTGGGAAATCTAGGTGCCCTAAGCTTGGGTGAGCGGGTGGGGTAATTTATAACAGCTCGGAATTGGAATTTAGATAGCCGAGTTCTAATTCCAATGGGGTTCGTTATATTCACTTACGCGCAAATACCCTTTGGGAAAGTTTGAATATATCCCCCTGTTATGGGTTAATTAGTAGGATGTGTACCAGTAAAAATCATTATTATCACCAAAAAGGTCTAGAAATCCCAAAATAGTTACTGTTTTTAAATGATCTTCAAAAGGTTGATAAACCATAAAAAACGTAATCAGTGTGTTATAATATACTTACAAATGATTTGGGTAACAAATAATTCCATAAATACAGTAGTAATCATGTTGGTCTGCAGTTGAACGTCTCCAGCTAATATTAAACTTACCGGGCAAAGGATCCCCAGACGAGAATATTTCGAAGAACATGTCTACAAATCGGAAAACATTTTCTACCCGAACCATTTCATACGGGTTCTAAGAGGAATTGGCCGAGCCTACGGACTCGGATCCCAAAATTTTTTCGGCCTTGAAAAACATCTGGACTGTGAGGCGGTTGGTAGATATCCTGCAGTTGGAGATTCATTGTGGAATTCACTTGACCCACTTCTAGCAGTTGACTACTTTTCAAATACGCGCCGTTGGCGAATCTTATTTGTGTTGTTCTTGTAAAAAAAAGTATTACCGTTCATTACCAATCTTCGTGCGATTATTCTATTCAGTAACCTTCCTTAGGTTACAAAATTTTGGCGATTATCCGGCCGTCACCGGATAAGCTTAGTCTTATATTTAAATTCGTAGGTCTGAACAGATGGAACTAAAAAATTGAGATCCTCTGAGAATTTGCCATGGAAATGATGTAGAGATTCTTGCTAAAATCCACAGAAGAATCTGCAATGTTATCGATCCTGATCTGGCACCTCGACTTCAGTCACTTTCCCACCGCCGTAGCGCAGCTTTCTTCTGCCTTTGCTATATTTTCATCGTGATTCTCTTGTTCTCTTTGATACCAAAACTCTACGAATTTAGCGCAATACAAGATTGGCAACAAGGCCTCATCATTTTACAGTTGAATCGGTTAGATGTAACACTAAGTTCTATGTTAAGAATTCCTTTTTTAAAACTACTCCCTGTGGAACACTTCCGGATTCTTGCCTTCCAGTCAACTTTGACCTTCAGAAATTTAAATTTAATGTCAATCGTTATCTCATAAGTCAGGTTCTCTATTCCTCTTCTTTTTATTGTTCTCCTTTTAGTAATGTTTGTCTTTTTCTTATTCTTTCACATTCAGTAACCCCTTATTCTTACTTTTTTTTATTACCTTATTTGGGATGAAATGGAAAAATTTTTTTGAGTCCTATAGATTTATTTAACAGGTACCATAAATTTATATAATTTGACAAACTCCCAACAACCAGCCTTACTCCATCCCTCTTTTGACATTGTGCCACATTTTCTGTCATTTCAGAAATAAATATTCCATTCCTCTTTAACTTGACAAATGTAAGCGCAGTACTAGATTGGCGGCAAGGTCCCATTTTTGCACAATTGAAATGCTAGATGCAACCGTAAGTTCTATGCAAACAGTTTCTTCTCTCGCACTTCTCACTTGTGGAACACTCTTTAAGATTCTCGCCTTCCACTCAACTACCAACTTCAAAAATTTAAATACAGTCATTTTCTTCTGTCTTCTTAATTCCAGTTCTTTTATTTTCTTCTCCCGCTAATGTTTGCTTTTTCTCATATTTTTTTCACACTCAGTGACCGCTTGTGTTTTAGTGACTTTATTTCCTTACTTCGGGAGGGGGGAATTAATGGAAAAAGAAAGAAGAAAAGAACAGTCTCTTTTCTCTCACTTCTCGCTTGTGCAAGTCTCTTCCGACTTTTTGATTTACAGTTAAGTACGATCTTCAAAAATTTAAATTCAACATCAATCATTATCATCTATCTCCTTGAATTTGTTCTTTCATTGTCCTCTATTCTTCCATTGTCAGTAGCGTCTTGTGCCTTAGTGGCTTTATTGCCTTTCTTGTCAGTGAAAAGATTAATAAACAAAAGAAAAGAGAAGTGACCATTACGTTTAAGGAAAACATCGATTTGGCATATGAACAAATGCCGGGAAAATAAAGAATTGCCAGAACAGTGTGTAAGACAGGGTTGGAAGGCCAATGTATTTCCGTTTGAGATCCGAGGTCTTTCTCACCACCGTACCCGTCTTGGCTCAGGCTATCACGAGTAGAAAAAGAGGAAATAGGTTCTAAGGTTCTCCCTGTACAGATATGGCGCTGTCACGCAACTCATGCCCTGATTTTGAGCGTATATATTTCAAAATTTGTCTTGTAGTTTTGTCTATATCAAATTATATATGATGTTAATACTCGATTCGAAGTCGAACACGGGAGGCTGCACTCCTTCCCTGTACTAACTAAGCGAGCAGTGATGGCAGAGTCCACTCATCAGTCGGTTGACTGGTCAAACCTCAGACAAACATTTATTGGTTTCACCCAAATATATTCACATAGCAATATTTTTTTTCATTGATATTTATGTGACTTAGAGGAAGCCATCTTGGGTTTTTTTTTCTTTCAAGGAACAAAATAGCTTCCAGTGTCCCTGAACTACGAAAGGTGGGCGTCAATATTCTGGTTGAATAAAAGTTTTTTTTTTTTTTTTTTTTTTTGAAAATTGGCGGTGTTATCTTCAGGTAGGAACTATTATTATTTATTTATTATCATTTTTTATGCTGACAGTTAATTTTGTTGTGTTTAAATATGAGAAAATGTGTGTATTTAGATTGCTGGCTAATGTTTCTAGTTAGGGCATATTGAATGTTTGATGTCCATGGGATTATTGAGCCATTCCTCGCACTGACGGAAGAAACGACAGTAGTGAAGCGGATGGCTAAGATCCATTCGGGATGAAAGCAAATTGGCCACCTCGATCAGTGTAGACGTACACGGCACACTGGTGCTCTCACATCTGGTGGGCAGGTTTTCTGGCGAGTTAAATTTGACTTGACTCGGAAGAAGTTAGTCGTTAAAATGTCTACGGTTGCGCATGTGTGTCTTCGTCTTCCAGTGGTGGCCTTCTTTACGACATACAGAGATCGCGCCTGGTGGGAGGGTATCTGGTTAGGTTTAGCAGTCGGTCGGAGATTGAACACGAGACATAGGACTGCTTACGTTCGACTGAAGGACACAAGAACCGGAGTCAAGAGTCGTACAACTCTCCGATCATCCACCGGTTCTATTATACTTTTTTATTAACAATAAGAATTTTTTTCCTTTTTTTCTGGGTTTCATACTTAATCATGAATGGATTGTATCTTCGCTCTGCCGGGGCGTGTCTGGGGCATTCCCTCTCCACCCATGATATATCTGCTTGAACTCCACTTGATAACAAAGAAGGTACACTTCCAGAGTGGAGCAGAGACTGCATCTGGATGCATTTACTTCTCCAGTAACGAGATGGGGAAACTTACAAAGCGTTGTGGAATCGCAATGAAACAGCGAGGAAGCTCTTGGGGTAGTATTAATTCTACTGCGACCCCAAAACAATAACTGAACCCAAAGTCCTCATCTGATGAGGGCTTCGTTGGAGGCATTCGTGCTACACCAGTCATTGTATGGATTTAGATCTACGCTTTTTTTATGCGTACATATAAATTCATAAAACGACCGAGAAAGCCGATCACAGTAATAAAAAGTGAAATATTGGCATTTTTTTTTTATTCCAACCCAATATTTATTTTATTATCTTTATGTTGATTTTCAAAGTGTATGTATGTATGTATGAATGCATGTATGTCTCTGTATATGTTTATCTTACTTTCTCATTATATGTCTGTCTCTCTCTGTATATGTCTATCTTTCTATCTCTCTCTGTATATTTGTGTCTGTCTTTCTCTCTCTCTCTATCTCTCTCTATATATATATATATATATATATATATATATATATATAGAATGTGTGTGTGTTTACTCTCTATCTCTCTGTGTATCTATCTATATATATATATATATGTTGTGTGTCTGTTTCTCTGTCTATCTCTTTCTCTATATATATATGTGTGTGTGAGACTCTGTGTGTTTCTCTCTCTCTCTGTATATATATATATATATATATATATATATATGTGTGTGTTTTTCCTGATATATATATATATATATATATATATATCTCTGTGTTATTTCTCTCTATATATATATATATATATATATATATATATATATATATGTGTATGTGTGTGTGTCTCTCTCTTTCTCTGTATGTGCGTTGAATAGATGATACGTACTCAGCATAAGTCTTAGCAACCTCAACAACAAACATTGTTTCTATTTCTTATGTCAGCAACCTTTTACTTTTCCATTTACAAGAAACCCTTTTCCTGGTATCTTTTGGGGGGGAGGACAGATCATATCTGCCAGTATTTCGACTATTGCAACTTGTCACCATTGAAATTTATGAATTATTTCTGGGTGGGGGGGGGACTTACTGCTGCTTATAGAATGCACAGAAACCAAAACTCTGGCCGTACTACTGTAAAGAAGATTACAAAAACAAAAAAACAAAAGAAAAAAATAACAGTCCCGTTGTTGGCCTGAAGTGTGAAAGAAAAAAATGCTGGAGTTTAAATTTTTTTTTGTCCTAAATCCGTCTTCTGTTTTCGATGTTTCTTCGGGAAGTGGGCGATGATGGCTCTCCACAGTTTCCTGTCCTTTGTAGCTCTTAATAACTTTTTGCTATCTCCCCTAATCCCTGCTCTGCAAACCAGGTGGGTTATGTGTTGCTTTCCCATGCTTCTTGCCGTCAATAAGTCCTGTGAGAGTCAAATTCTCCAAGTTCCCATTTACTCATTAAGTACCCTAAAATTTAGACTCTCACTTTTTGATATATATATATATATGTGTGTGTGTGTGAAAATATATAGAAAATAGGAAGGAACTGGTTAGGTAAATAATCCAAAGATCCTTAGTATTTTAGTTATTATTTTTAAAAAATAGTGCTCGATACAAAAGTACAGCATAAATATAATTATTTATTTAAAAATATGATTCCAACTCGCGAGTTGGAATCATATTTTTAAATAAATAATTATATATATATATCGTTTTTGTTTTCATTTTCCATAGGACTTCCTCATTGTTCACATGCTCAGTCGATGGAATTCTCGGTATCCTTCCGTTTCTCTGTTGCTTCAAGTTTCTTCATCCGTGAGAAGAATATCCAGAATTTTCCATCTAGGAAAACCGATAATACATAAGAATTCAGTAGTCTTTTCTTTGTTTGTAACGAAATTTTCATGTTTCTTAATACTTTGCTTATCTTTTGGAAGGTATCTTTCGCTATCTCAGTGTACCTTCGGATTTGTGTGTCGCATTTTCCGTCCTCTGTTAATAGACTTCTGAGATCCTTTTTGTATTTGCTTGGTTTTGACGTCTCCATTTCATAGTTTGCATCTTGGGTTGTCCCTTTTGCTTACAACCAGACATTGTGTCTTGTTCCAACTGATGTTTAGTTCTTTCTTCTCGTTTTCCTTTACTACGTTCTGTAAGAGTTCTTGTAGTTTCCTTTCCCTGTTTGCTATTCACACTGTCATCCGCTTATCTTATGCTAAGATTGTGTCTGCCAGTAATGAATCCTGGTAGGACTTTTTATTTCTCTCAAGATCACTTCACTAAATTTATAAAATAAAAACATTCCTTTGTTGAGTAGATGTTTAATTTTGATTAAATGGCTCTGGGATCTTTTCTGTTAATTAACACCAAATAATGCAATGTTACTTATCGCATGATGGAGGCACAGTGGAGTAATGGATAGCTGCTTGGATTGAGGAATCGGAGAGCCGAGTTCGAATTCCAGTCGAATCCATTACATTCCCTTATGTGCTAATACCCTTGGGAAAGGCATGAATATTCTTCTTCTTCCCCCCAGCTATGGGTAAATAGCAGTTGTCTGGCAACTGGTCTACCGCAGAAAGAAATGGTAACCTACTGCGGGAAAAAATCGTCAGTCATGTTATGTGCTTACGTGTGTATCCCGCATGGCACATAACTGACTTATCGCAAATATTAATTCACCCCAAGAAAGTATAATTTTTTTTTTGGGGGGGGGGGGTAATTAAAATTTTGGCACTCTTTTTGTAATTAAAATTTAAAATCAAAATTTGTTTAGCTTGACTCGCAAAAACTCCAACCCGTAGAATTAAAAATTACCAAAAATCAGCAAGTTATTCATATTTCGTAAGTGTGGATGATATTCGAGGTACTTGCAAGGATTTTTACATTTAAAAAAAAAAAAAAAAATGTTTTAGTTTGTTTATTTGGGGTGAGGGCTAACGTAGACCCGGCGCCTAGAAACAACACGCCCGATTTGCTCATATTTGTGGCAATTGTCAAGGTCAGCCCAATTGGAGTGCAATGGAAGGGCCTCACTCTGGGATAATTTGATGTGAATTTTAGTGAATATAAATTCTTTTTGTTTTGGAGTGAATTAACAGAAAAGATCCTTCCTCTATTTTGAGGACGCCCCAGCCTCGAGCATGTATTCCACTTTTGACTTATTTTGGAAAAAAAAAATAACTTAGAATCAGCTTAAGAAAAATGTAACCCTTCACCGATGTGGAGGACACAAAATTGGGGGTGAAGGTAAAAAAAAAAACAAAAAAAAACGGAGTATTGGATACAATAAAAATAATTTCTTTTGTTTTTGTAAAATAATACTTAATATTTTTTATCTGTAAATGTTTAAAATTATTGTATTTTTGCACTTGATCGAAAACCCCGCCGACTTTTTACATCTCCTAAATCTTGATCCCTCAAATTCATTTTAATTTTTGTATTTATTTTGTTTTCACTTGAACACACACACACACACACACACACACATATATATATATATATATATATATATATATATATATATATATATTTGTTAATTTTCTTTTTTAAAAAACTTTTTTCCCTCGAGATTGATTTGATTATTGGCAAATCAGAAATTGAGGGTTTTTCGAAAAGTATAAATTATCTATATTTGTGTGTGTATATATATATATATATATATATATATATATATATATATATATATATATAAATAATTGAGAACAGATTTTTATGTGTTTCGTCCGTTCAGAACAAAAGGCCATCATGGCTCTCCACAGCTTTCTATGTCGTGTGTCTCTTAGCATTTTTCCTCCTTTCCGAAGGACCTCGCCCACCCACCCCCAGTTCCTCTATCCATTTACACGAGCTCGTCAGTTAGGTGGTTTGCTGGTTTCACCTATTTCTCCTGCCCTCAATATGCCCGTGTAGGTTAGGTTTTCAGTAAATTTATTGTAAATTAATCCTCCTTCCTATGCAAGCCCAAAAAGATATTCTCATACTATGTGATAAAGCATATTCTAATTAAACTTAACAAATTTTAAATCAATTTAAACTAAAAAAAAAAAGTTAATATATGATTTAAAAACTATTCTTATTGGCCTTTTTCGTATGGCGATTTTCCAAGCGTGGCACAAGGTCGAAAGTATAGAGAACGCAGCGAGGATCGAACTCACTACTCAGTCGTAATTGTTCTACCGAGACAAGCTGGTTAACCATCATACCACATCAAGGTACCCCTTACCGCTTATATAGGTTGTGTTAAAATAATGTTCACTAAAAACTTAAATTTCAAAACAGCCACCTTATACGAATTTAAAGCATATTTTTACTTACCTATTCTCATTATTATTATTATTTCCCCCCTTATTTTATTTATTAAAATGACTAAAAAGTTTTCGAAAACAATAAACACTAAGGACAATTTTTATAGTACCTTACCCGACACCAAACAGAAAAACTCAATAAAAAAAAATCATCAAATTTATCTGTCATATTCAAGGAAACATATCTGAAAGAAGGGTTGCTACCAAAATATATGTACGGTGCAATGGATAAATTGTTGTCTAAATTACGCAAAATGAAAATAGCACTGATCTCTCATTTTAACCTTTCACCTATCTGGTGGACAAAAAGTTGGGGGGGGTCGAGGTAAAAAAAAAATGGGCGGAGGGAGGTTCGAAACAAGAAAATAATGTCTTTTGTTAACTTCCTTTATGTAAATTCATACTTAATATTTTTTCGCTAAATATTTAAAGTTATTGTATTTTGGCACCCCCCAAAATTGGTGTATGTGCTGCGTCATTTCAGGAAAAAAAGCGATTATGGCTCTTCCCAACTTTCTTTCACAAAAATATCTTGGAAGCAGATGTAAGGGGTAATGTTGTCGCAGAAAATGTCTGACAGTCATGACTGGGTTCTCCTGCTTGTGTGGCATGGTGCAGAGTCCTGTTGCCAGGCATAAGGTTTTCCAGTAGCCACCCTCTTGACACAGGGTAGCACTACCTTTTCAAGGCAATTAATGAAGGCTTCCGTGTTGATTCTGAGGCCCTCACAAACAAATTCGATTGTTCTTTTCTTATCAGAACGATCAGAATGAGTTTTCCGAGCTGCCGTAACTTCGTAATCACCATTAGACTCATCGAACGCTTTCCGAATTCTCTGCGTTGTGCTCAGATTGACATCCAATCACTCAGAAATGTTCGTATTGGAGCTTCCGGTGCGAATGCCAAGCAGTACAGCATGCAGTTTCCAACTTTCTGTGAATTGCGTCATGATGCTCTTTTTGTTATAGACGGTGCCCAACTGACCCTACTCTATTGTACAGTCGACAAAATCAAAAACAACAAACAACGCGCATGCGCAATATTAAAAATAGAAAATAGCGAAAATTTATCCATCGCACACTGGAATGGACAGTTATCACATGCTGTTACACGATTAGGAATTTTTTTTTTTTTTTTCTCTCTCTCTCTCTCTCTATATCTATATATATATATATATATATATATATATATATATATATATATATATATATATATATTATATATATGTTTATATTAGCCTAGTAGGATCAATTTACAATAAATTTCAATAGCAAATTGAAAACCCTCATAAAATTTGGAAAATTAATTCTTTTAATATCCGAGATCTGGAGTGCATAACTGATGTCAATATAAAAAGTTTGACAAAAATGATTATTTCTTGACCAGATGTTATTCCGTAGAAACGCCAGAAATCTATCAATACTCTTATGTTTTAATAAGCTATAAAGTTAATATGGAGTCCTCGTTTTGCAATAACCAGATAATTCCCCCAATTGGACATTTGCAGCTTATCAATCTCTTGTCTGCTCCAAGTTGTTTCAGATAAACAGCGATATTTCTAATTTGTCTGGACATTCTGGCGATGGAATGGCAATCGCTCTCTTCAGTTGGGCCTCAATTCCAACCTGCAAAATCTTTCTGAAAACAACGATATTATAATAAGAGATCGTCAAAGGTACACAGTAGCACTTTATAGTTTCTCCCATTTCAAGAAAGGAGACTAAATTCAACGTTAACACAAAGGGCAACTGAACAATTAAGAACTAAAAGAGATACAGATCATAAAAGAAAAAGATTTGAGATTGACAAATTTTTTTTAATGAGCACTCTTAGATATAAAGTACAGTGTATGTTTGTGCGTTTGTATGCCCTAGCAACTCCTCCGCTCCCACTGGTCCGATTTCAATGATTCATAGCTCAATTAAAAACCCCAGAAAAGTTAGGCGCAGGGAACGATTTTCGTTGAGCTCAAATTCAGGGTTGCCAGATTATGCGAGGTTAAATATATATATATATTAATATATTGTACTAGCCATTATCGTTGTTTTCATGGTTCAAGGAGAGTAACTCTGATTTTACTTTTGTATCCAAAATTGCAGTTTTGGTCGGCATTTAATCTAGCTTCTGTGGAGGACTCTGGGTTTGGCCATCATCACAATAGCTAGGGAGAAGTAGATGCGATAGGCATCAATAAACTACAGACGAACTCAAAATTGATCGTTGCATTTAAGAATTGAATTAATATTTAAGCTTAGCTTTTTAAAGTTCAATGATTATTCTTCTGCTGTCACTTAATTTTAAGACGATTTGATGTACGTAGGTCCTTACTTTCCGTACAATTATTTTTATATGTGACATAACGGGAAAATTTACAAGATAAAATTAATATAGTGTAAAGATGGGAAATTAGAATTAGTTATACATTCAATATTTAAAGAGTTAGAGAAACATAATAACTAATTAAGTAAAACCTATATTATGGAATCTATATGAATAAATGCGAAATTGGAATATAATTATCCAAAGAATTCTGTGGTTAAAAAGCCCCCAACTCTATAAGTAATTTATATGCGGTATTAACTACTTTCCACCACTTGGACGAAATGAGACACAAGGTCTACTTTTAGGTGGTGACCCGAGCGCGTACACCCGAGACAGGAACAAAAATTCCCTTCAGCCAGCCGCAACCGTCGGTTGCGCTGGCCTCGGTGCGAGCACCGATCCCTCCCTCTGGTGTAATGGGAGGGCGTGGCCTCGGGCAGCTGTTTCCAAGGGCTGGGCACCTCTTCAGTATGATTTTCCTCTGTTGTCCCTCTGCCCTTTGACCGAGAAACCTCTGAGCGCACTCTGCCCAAAGACAGAGACGCAACCGAGAGATGATAAGTAGATATTTACTCAACCCCCACCACGAGGTCAGGTTGTGACATAAGGTCGGTTTAATGTGGGGAGCCCGAGCGCGTGCACCCGGGCAAGGCACAAAAATTCCCCGAGCCCCCGCAAGCTTTGCGACTCTGTTCTTTGGCGGAGTCGCCCCTGAGTGCACTCTAGTCAAGGACAGAGACGCAACTGAGAGATGATAAGTAAACGTGATCTTATAAAAGCTCAGTATCTGTACTATACATTATCTACTTCTTGGCAATATCAGTTTTCAGGTTTAACTAATTTTCATATTAATTTTAAAAAGTATATTTCATTTATTAGCTGTCCTTCATTAACGTTCTTTAATTCAAGGATTGTTTTGATTTTTCATATTAACATAGATCTGTTTAGGAATATTGTCTTATATAGTGTAGAAAAGGTGTTTGAAATTTGCATTTTATTTGGCCTTCAACAAGTTGACAATCTATTTGTAAAACTTTCCTTAACTCTAACAAGCCAATTTATGAATGAAATATTCATTTAAAATTTTTATTTCAGATTTCCAGTAGTGAATATTTCTTACTTTGCCAAATCTGCTAGTTATAAATACGTGCTTCGTAATCCCGTGCTTTCTCTCTTACTCTTTCTTTCTCTCTCTCTGTTGTGTCTCTTTCTTTCTCTCTCTCTGTTGTGTCTCTTTCTTTCTCTTCTCTCATTGTCTCTCTTTTCTCTCTCTCTCTTTGTTCTTTTCTTTCTTTCTCTCTCTGTTGTGTCTCTTTCTTTCTCTCTCTCTGTTGTGTCACTTTCTTTCTTTCTCTCTCTCTGTTGTGTCACTTTCTTTCTTTCTCTCTCTCTGTTGTGTCACTTTCTTTCTTTCTCTCTCTCTGTTGTTTCTCTTTCTTTCTCTCTCTCTGTTGTGCCTCTTTCTTTCTCTCTCTCTGTTGTGCCTCTTTCTTTCTCTCTCTCTGTTGTGCCTCTTTCTTTCTCTCTCTCTGTTGTGCCTCTTTCTTTCTCTCTCTCTATTGTGCCTCTTTCTTTCTCTCCTCTCTCTCTCGTCTCTCTTTCTCTCTCTCGTCTCTCTCTCGTCTTTCTTTCTCTCTCTCGTCTCTCTCTCGTGTCTCTTTCTCTCTCTCTCGTGTCTTTTTCTCCTCTCTTTCTCTTCTCTCTCTCTCCTCTCTCTCTCTCCTCCCTCTCTCTCTCTCTCTCTCTCTCTCTCTCGTTTCTCTCTCTCTCTCTCGTTTCTCTCTCTCTCCTCTCTCTCTCGTGTCTCTCTCTTTCCTCTCTCTCTCTCGTCTCTTTCTCTCTCTCTCTCTCTTGTCTCCTAGAATAAATCGGCATTGTCCTTTCGAGAATTGCAATATTTTCTGTCAGTTTATTATAAAAAATTACTGTTTAATCAGGGTGCCTTCATATGACGCTTCGCACTGCACTATACTCAGTTTTTTTTTTTAAATATCAACAGGTCACCTTGACCGAAAGAAATATTTCATAAGATACAAGGATTGGCAAAAGAAAATGCCTGCTCTTCTTTAATTATACCAGATTTGATCATAGAATCAAACAGAGCATAAAAAGGTTCGCAGAAGCGTCATAGGATTCTAAATCTATTCCTTAGCATCGTTCCCCCCCCCCCAGAATCGTTGTACGAGGATCGATTAGAACGTAATGTCTGTTCTTCTCTAATTCTAACAAATTTGACAGTAGAAACACATAATCCAAACCAAAATGAAAACTCAAGTCACATGATTCCAAATCCAGTCACCACTATAGTCTCATTCCTTCTCAATCGTTGTACGGAGGTCGATTAAAATGTAATGTCTGCCTTTGTCTAATATTAATCGATTTTTTTTTTAATCGATTTCACTCCAAGCAAGGCAGTAAAGTCACTAAGACGCAAATGGTTACTGGGTGTGGACGAATTAGAAAACAAAGTTTAATAAGAAGCAAGAACAAAAGGATAATCAGGAAAACATTAGGAAGCGATTGACATTGCATTAATTTCTTTTAAAGTTCGCTGGAAAGCATGGAGCCGAAAGGGATTTCCACAAGTGAGAAATGAGAGAGAAGAAACTGTTAGCATAGAACTTACGGCTACATTTAGACAGCTCAACTGTAAATTGAAATCTCGACACTAGTCAAGTACTGCGCTTAAATTTAAAAAAATAAATCTAGGTACTATAGCGAAGAGCACATCCGTACAAATGAAAGTATTTATAGAAAGAGAGAACACGGGAAGGACTTTACGGAGGTGACAAAGTGACTGAAGCCGTGATGCCAGATCAAGACCAATAATATTGCTGATTCTTCTTTAGATCTTATCAAGGAGCTCAAGGTAAATAGAAGGGGCACCGGACCATATGTGGCAGCAATATTCTAAGCATGGACGAATTGTAGACTAATAGATATGTAAGATAGATTCTGGAAGTAAAAATTGTCTCGCACGACACAGTGAACCAACTTTCTTAGCAGCTGACCTAGGAATGGATTCAATACAGTCTTTCCACTTCGTGTCAGCTGGGAACGTTACCCGAGAAGTTGCAACGAATCACTTGTCTGGAGGTTAGCATCAGCCATGCTGATGGAAGTCAAAGAGGGATCTCTAAGATGATTTTTTGAAGTCGTTAAAATTAACAAGCCATCGGAGTGAACGACGGACTTGAGGTCGTTTTTGGACATCAGACGAGAAAAATTGTCTAGCCCGACACAATGAACTCGGTGGATTCAATAGTTATGTCAGTCGAGAACGTTAGCTAAAAAGACGCAACGAGTCGCTCTCTTGGAGGTTAGCATCAGCCGTGCTGATAGACGACAGAAAAGGCTCTCTCAGAGGATTAATACAGAGCAGTTTTTTTTTAAATATCAACAGGGGACGTCAAACGAAAGAAATATATGATAAGGTAGGATATTATAACAAATTTTATAGAAGCACACAATCCAAATTAAACTGAAAACTGAAGTCCCGATATTCCAAATCTAATCCTTAACAGTGTCTTCTTTATTCCCAGTCGTTTTCAGAGGGTCGCTCAAACGTAATGGCCGTTCTTCTTTAAGGACAATATATTTACTTACAGAATCGCATAATATATATCAAAATGAATATAAAAATCTCAGAAACCAAAATCGAGCCCTCAGTATAGTCTTCATTCTTTCTCGGTCGTGCTAAAAAGGGTTTGCCGTAAAGTAAAGACTATTATTCTTTAATTAGCGCAGATTTAATTGTCGAATTAACATAAAGCATCCCCCCAAAGAACACAAAAGTCACAGGATCTCAAATCTATTTCTCAACATAGTCGCCTTCATTCTATTGTGGATAAAGGCGTTGGTTAAATCCAGTGACAGGACCCAAAGAGTGTAAGTTCAATACCCGGTTAAGGCAGTGGAGGAACTTGGAGAGGGGAATTAACAGGAGATAACTGATAACTGAAATCCATTAAACCCGGCACGTAGAACTAGAACAGTCGACCCAAGTGAGCGAAATAAAGGTTTCTGTTCGACATTCCAGCCACCTGAAGAAGGCCGGAGCGTACAACGGCCGAAACGTTGTCATAAATATGGCGACAAAGATGAGGACAATAGTCCGAATAATGTAAATAGTGTTCTTAATAGCTGATCTCAGAAATATAGACAGATACTGAATTGCTATTTTGTTTATTTTTTTTATTTTTTTTTTTTTTTTTTTTTTTTTAAATAAAAAAATATTTAATTCTCAGGTTATAAAAATGCGCGTCGTTAATCATAGGCTCCGGAATAATCATTTAAAAATGTTATTGTTGAATTATTAGGTTTCTTTTTTCATAATAAATATGTTTTAAAAACGCCTGGTAATTATGCACCAACCCAATAAATCATGTTATTCCTTATTATTCTTTCATGGAGAGCAGGTAGACCCGCCTCAGATGTTTCTTATCTATCCGCTGAGTGCTTTCTTCATCGACTTATAGATGAAAGCGTGAGAGTTCGGGTCAAGGGCTCTATGGGGGATGAGGCAAGGTCAAACTAACCATGCGCTTCGATTGAAGACTGGGTTCCATAACCTTGATTGGCAACCAATCCACTGTAGAAAGAAAGAGCAGGCGACGGTGGGAGAATCATCTGCCTAGACTGTCCTAGACCTGAATCAAAAGACACGCTTGGGCGATCGTGTATTACGTATGGCACTTGACTCACTGATTCATTTTTTTTTTTTTGTTGACATGATCTTGTATATGTATGTTTTTTCATATATAGACCGGCCAATGACCACCCCACTTTGCATTTACATCATCGCTTACGCAGACGTTTCCCGAAAAACTGGGAAGGGTCCATTGCACGTTCACAACGAAACAAGATAAACGGCATGTCGAGAAATGAAAACTCGAAACCTGTTTCCAGTAATATAAAATAGGTGTTTTTATTCAGGGTTTTGTTTGATCAGAGCTCGGATCTCTCCTTTTATTGTCCCATGTCCGTCCAAAGTGTGGCTGGCACCCGGAACTACACGAGGAGCACTTTGTCCTCCGCCAAGGACGGACCAGAACTGACATTCAAGATCCCAACTGCGACGTAATATAGACCAACCACAGAAAACTCTGTTCGGTTTTATTATCACTTGTCCTAGAAAACCCTCATCAATTCGTTTATTCTTCCGTTCCCTTTTGATCAAGAGGGTACTGCTTAGAAGACTTGGCTTCAAAGTGTTCGTTCGCTGGCTATAAAATATTAAAAAAAAAATTGAAATTGAGACAAAATCACACCTTCATCTTCTATATGAGTGTTGCAGTTATAGTGTCACAATTGTACTGCGTTTTATTTCAATTTCGTAGGCTACAGCCAGTAATTTCCTACTTATAGGTTGGCGCAGCATGTCCTTACCCCATTGATTAGCATTTTACTTTTTGCTAGACGTTTACTGAATATCTGTTTTCTGGATTTAGAAAGCCTTATTTTGGTTAGGCAACATCCATTTGCAAAATTAACGCAGCCCATCCACCATTTCGCTTCGTTGTAGACGTAAGCGAAGCGTAATTTATTAAAAAGAATTATTCTTTCCTTACCGCATAAAGCTATTCAATGTTTCATACGCATGGTAAATTATCTGGCTAAAAGTTAAAATTATCCATCCAAACACCTCTTTATATAATGGCTTCAGTAAATACAGGGCGACAAAAAAGTAACGCCTTTTTTAAATTAACTTTTAGGGAACAAAAATAAATGAGATGGCTTAAGATTAACTCTGGCTTAAGCGTTTGGGAATGGTTAAATCTTAATTTCGAGCTGAAGTGACTAGGAAGACGTGGAGGAATTGAGTGGACATTACGATCACCAGACCTCAGACCACCGGACTTTTTCTTGTCGGGTTTACTGAAATTTATTTACACGTTCAGATCGAAAACAATTCCTGAATTAAAACAAGAAATTTCTGATAAATTTTCTGAAATTAATATTGTAATGTGTCAAATGGTTTGTAGAAGAGTTGCCTCGTACTAAACGTGAACGGGGGAAAGATTTTGAACAAGTTAAATAGTTCAACAAATCATGTTGTTTTGATGTGACAATACTTATAAATCATTTTAAAATACAGTAATTTATTTTTGTTCAATAAAAGCTAATAAAATTGGCAACTATTTCTCATAGTTTTGCTGTCGAAATAGCTAGATGCAGCTAAGTTCTATTCTAATAATTTCTTGCCTTTTTTAACTAATGCTTCCCCAATACAAGACCTAAGGGTCACTCAAGGTAGAGGTTTACTGTGTGGAGTTGTATCAGCCTAAGAAAGGGCAAGATAAGAAAAGATAGCTAATTCTAGATTTGAAATGGGTAAGATTTAATTAGCGAATAACATTTCAGAGTTCAGGCGTAGTATCGAATTGAAGTAGATTTTAGAAGGAACTGGAAACTCAATCCTAAACAGGAAACAATGGATGGACCTCTACCCTTGTTCAAAAGAGCAGGGAGAAGTCTGAAACGGACTTGATTTAATACGTTTATTTACAATAGTAAATTCAATTGATGACATAGGTTTCCAGATATAAAAGCCTGTATAAATCCACCGGAGGTTTGTAGCGGTGACTTACTGATATAATGAAATAACCTGTCACCCTCATGTATGACTACACTATAAGTATCTGTAGGTCAACGGACTACAGAGACTAGCCGAAATACAGTCAAACATCTGCCTTTGGGCAGAGAGAAAACCGGACGAGACTCTGCCAAAGGGCAGAGTCTCGTTCGGGGTGGTAGACTGACCCTGAACCCGTTTATACGTGTTTTGAAAGGGAATATTTTTGGCCGAGCCTACGGACTCGGAAGACCTACGTTAAACTCGGCCTTGTGCCACATCTATCCTAGTGG